GTCCACTTCCACTTCCCATCCTTTCCTTATAAGAAAAAGGGTGGGAAGGGAAAGAGGACTAAATTAGGCCTCCGGGACGCACACTCATCAGACGAAACGCGGAATTGCTTCCACTTCACGCCTGTTTTCTGTGTGGTGGTGGTATTGCTCGGTTGCCGGTTTCTTTATTAAAAAGAGTAGCGACAGCAACTTCGAATAACCTTCACAATATTTTATTAGAATATTATCGCTACACATTGTAAAGGCTGTCGTTAACGTCGGTGTCTCAGGGGTTAAAGCACTTGACTCGTAATCTGCAGGTCCTGGGTCCGAATCCCGCCGTATACCAATGTGTTTTTCATATTTAGATTAGTACATTTATCCGATGTTCTTACGGTAAAGGAAAACTTCGTGATGTGATGTGCGAAGAAATACAAAGATATGTGTGAAATCAATCAATCCGTACTGAGCGAGCGTGGTGACCTCTAACTTAGGTCAGGCTCCGAGTCCCTCAGTGTGGACATATAATGGGCTGATTATCATTGTAAAGACCTATTTACTCTATACAATTTTTTGTACGCATAACAACAATGACAAAATACAATAATAAAAAAAAATGGCAATCATGTGTGTGTAGTGACTATTGCAAATGAAAATGATATGAACCGCGATTCTCGTAGGTAAATGCTGCACCACTAGCAGTATTTGCACAGGAATTTGGAGTTGACGGTTTTGGATCTAAGGTAAAAAAAAAACAAATAAAATAGAAAATGTTAAATACCATAATTGCACATGAAATTATGACACATGCTGTTCAGTGATGTGAAATTTCTTTGTTTTCTTTCTTTGAAATTTGTAAAACACATCAAGAATGTTACGTGTTGTTTAGACCGTACAAGCTTTCATTTAACTGTGTACAAAGTAGTGTAAACGAGTCTTTATGAACGGTCGTGGAGAACGTTACTCAATACCGACACGGGATTATGGATCAAATTGTACTGCGGCTGCTAATCCCCGCTCGTTCTTTTTTACAGCGCTCAATAAACTGATGTGTCGCAAGGCGACGTGACGTGAGGTAGGTATATACTTATATACCTACCTCACGGCCGAAACCTTGCTCGCCGCTGTCCGCTCCTTGCTTCCCGTGTTTTTGTTGTTTTTCTCGCCGCTGCTACTCCGGTATGCTACGCAAGAAAGTAAAACACCGGCGACATACTAATTTTCTCTTTTCTTGCCGCGGCTGACCATGCTGCGAACATCCTGATCACACCTAAACGTTCTAAAAGTTCGACCTTTATGTTTAATTACATGAGAGACGTGCGGGACTGACCCGCCCGGTGACTCACAGTAACACAGAGCTCTTGTTGCAGAGCGCGGCCGGCGGAGGACGCAGTCTCATATTTTGAAATTGTAAGTTGTACACTTATCTTTATAATTCGGGATTTTTCAAAGCTTATACTCCAAACGTCCTAAGTAAATGATTAATGCTTGTGTTATAAATATGTTATATTTACTAAATACAAAGAAATGCAAGTGCCCTTGTGACGCCGGCAGTACAAGTACGGGCGATGGTACGAGCTGGCGGCGAGCGTGGCGGGCACGGTGCTGGGCCTGCTGAGCGGCGGAGGCCTCTGCTACAACCTGGCGCAGTTCGGCGAGCTCACCACGGCCTTCGTTGACCGCACCGCCAACCAGCACGAGCTCTCCACCTACTTGCCTTTGACCACCTTATTTGGCGGCGGAAGAAGACTGTAAGTGTGTTTTAACTGTGATGACTGTTATTATGTTACATTACATTTCGACGTATAGAAGTAAATTTTGCACAAAAATTATTCTTAAATGGCAGGGCAAGTGAAGTGCTATTTGTTATGACCGAGCGACGTCCGACGACGTGCCTTACTTAGGATTAAGGTGAAAATATTAGACGTATTATGTTTCGAAAATCAGTTCAAGCATTTTGCCTCATTACCCCGACGATGATGAGGCCAAAAAACATAACCCTCGGTCTCTTCGTCAAGTCCTTCTTACTTATATCGGTGGGAGAACGAGACGAGCGAAGGTTGAAATGAGAGCTGTGAAGGCGAGCACTTCATCAGTACCTTGTGCTGGTACAGGGTGAACGCGTCTCACGAAGAGAATATGGCAGCGCTGGAGGAAGACGCGCGAGCGACCTGCATCGGTTGTTTCGTGGCAATCATCATCTCCCTGGTGCTGTGTAACACTTCCATCGCGCTGCTGAGCTGGAGCGCCGCCAGACAGGTGAGCCGCCCCACATCTCTACACCGATACTTATTCAACGAAAATGATCGTTTGTACAATGTAAACGCACTGAAGTATGCAAAGAGAATTCGTTAAGTCATGAAGGATTTTGTTGACGTAAAGCGAAACTGTGTTGTGCGACAACGTTCTTAATGTTTGTGACCGTGTGTTACATAAATAAATAAATAGGTACAGTACATACAATACACATTGAAGAAAACCATGAGTCGAGACATCATTTTACTCCGATAGCAATTAATATTCAAAGATAGAAATAAAGAGGGTTCATTCTTTTCTGCTTTGTGCTATAGATAACTAGGATAAGAATGCTCTTCCTGGAGGCGGTGATGCGGCAGGACATGGCGTGGTTTGATCTTGACACCGAATTTAACCTGGCTTCCAAGATGTCCGAGTGAGTTGAGTTGCACACCTGCACCACACCCGATCTGCGAAGGCAGGTGCTAAATTACTTTTGGTTCGATAGAATTACAATATACATACATGAATTTGTAAAGAAAATGTAAGGACGTAACATTTAAAACTTGTTGAAAAAGAATAATCAATTGCATTAAGCTTTACACTTTGTTCTAAAAAGATATTTATTTGATGAGGAACTTGATGAAGCTGAAGGAGGGCATGGGCGACAAGCTGGGCGTGATCGCCAACCTGGTGGGTACCAGCGTGCTCTGCATCTGCCAGTCCCTGAGCTTCGGCTGGGAGCTGACGCTGGCCTGCATCACCGTAATCCCCTTCGCCGTCGCCGCGTCCGTCATCTTATCCAACGTGAGTGCCTGTTGTCGTGGCCTCGTGGTAATGAATGTATGTACGAGTATGTACGTGGGTTGGTATGCGAATCTTCTGTGACGGCTAGAGCTTAAACCACTGCACGGACTTTGAGGAGTGAGGATGTCTTGATGATGTCGGTTAGTAGTCTTTCCCGGAACGGCATATGGACTGTTACATATTGCCACAAAACAGGTTTTATTTTTTTATTATTTAATCTTAAAAATGGAATTAAAAAGCCTGATCCAGCGGTCCAGTGTGACGGACAGTGTGGCAGGTGATGAGCACGCGCGTGCGGTTGTTGCAGTACCAGACGCGGTCGATGGCGCGCGAGATGGCGTCCTACAGCCGCGCGGGGAAGCACGCCGAGGAGGTGCTCAAGTCGGTGCGCACAGTCGTCGCGTTCGCCGGCGAGCGCATCGAGAGCGACAGGTGGGTCCCGGCCGCGCCCGCTACCGCCACCTCCACCGCCACCTCCACCCCCACCTCCTTACACGTTGCATCATTTCATAACTGCTTCGGGCTTTGTATGTGCTACAACATTCATTTATCTTATGTTACTTAGTTTGACTGGATGTTTGTTAGAAGTTAAATATGTCTAGAACGGCTACATGGATCTCGCTGGACTTTGGTATACTTGTAGATGTAGTTGAATTATAAGATGACATCAATCGCGTCAAAGTTTCGACAATTGTCCGGATTCAAAGACCTACTTGTAAATACTTCAATGCCAATAATGTAAAGGGTCGAGTTTCATTATTTTATTTATAGTCAAATATTTAGAAAAGCCTTTAATATTGTACATTTCATTAGGATTTAATCAATCAACTACATCGTTTTCTAGAACAAAACTTTATTATAAAAATATCACATTTTTGCTACGGTCTATACGATCGTTAACTTTTTTTTTTTCATTTTATTGCAGGTATATTTCCAATGCCATCTATTAAAATTCTGACAAAAACTACTAACTAAATATGAAAAGCAATAACACATCACACTTATATTTTTCCATTCTAATTATTCATCATCATCATCTGCTCACTATAAGTCCACCAGTCCACCTAGAGGCTCGGAGCCTACTTTAAGTTAAGGGTGATAATTTTAATTATTAGTATATTAAAATATATGATTTTTTTAAATAACAATGTAGGAAGGCTCGCCAGCCTTTTTAAAGCACCGTTTGTGGTAATAAGTGGAGAGCACTGTGTAGTACTGTGAGGCACCACCGGCAGGTACCTGGCGCTGCTACAGCCGGCGGAGAACGCAGGGAGGCGGCGCGGGCTGCTGACGGGCGTGGGCACCGGCGTGCACTGGCTGCTCACGTACGGCATGGACGGCATCTGCTTGGCGTACGGCGCGCGGCTGGTGCTGGCCGACCTCGACCGCCCCGCAGACCACAGGAAGTACGTCATCGGAGTCTTGTTCAGTGTGAGTTCACTTATACATTTATTTCGGAGCAGACTCTAAGCTGAGCCACGCGCAAATCTTCCTAAAGACATCGCCTCGTCCCGGGAAGCGCTCGGCGCGAAAGTCGACGCCGACCTCCTCCACATATATTTACATTTACCTGTAACATAGTAATAGTACACAACGAGCCCAAGATCATAGAAGTGATAAGATTTTAAAATCTGTTTAATATAAAATTAAATGAACTGGCTTTTACGGCTAGTTAGTTTTATTTGGTGAAATAAAGTATGTATTTTTTTACACAGATCCTGTTCAACGTGTACATGGCGACTCAGTCGGTGACGTTCTGCGCGCCGCTGGCGGAGGTGTTCGCGGCGGCGCGCGGCGCGGCGGGCAGCGTGTTCGCGCTACTGGAGCGGCGGCCCGCCATCGACTGCCTGGCGGCGGGCGGCGCGCGC